AAATGTGGCTTTTTAAAGAATATTTCTTAAGCACCATCCTGGATTTTTCCAAGAATAATTTCTCAAAAGACTAATCGATTTTGATTTTTTTCTAAATATTTTTCCAAAAGACCAAGCAATGTTGATTTTTTAAAGAATATTTTTATAAAGGTCCTATCAACATGTATTTCTAATTTAAAAAAAAAAAAAATAAATATTTCTATAAAGTTACTATCAACGTGGATTTGTAAAGAATATTTTTCAAGGACCTTCATTGATGCCTAGTTTTTAAAAAAAAAAAATATTTTTCAAGGATCTTCGTTCCATTCGTATGTTTTAAAAAAATATATTTTTTTCTGAGATCCTCATCGACAAAAAGATTTTAAAGAAATATTTCTAAGGACCTAGCAACGTGGACTCTTTAAAGAATATTTTTCCCAAAGGGCCTAGTAACGTGGATTTTTTCAACATGAATATTTTTATAAAGTTACTATAAATGTGGATTTGTAAAGAGGATTCCCATTGGTGCGTATTTTAAAAAAAATAATAATTTTTCAAGGATCTTTGTTGATTCGTATGTTTTAAAAGAAAATATTTTCTAGGACCCTCATATTTTAAAGAAATATTTCTAAAGGACTCTTTAAAGGTTATTTTCCCAAAGGACTTAGTAACGTGGATTTTTTTTAAAGAATATTTTTCCAAAGTACCTTCCAACGTGTTTTTATTAATATTTTCAAGGATGCCCACCGACGCTATTTTTTATAGTATATATTTTTAAAGAGGGCATTGCTCACTCTCTTTAAAGAAAAATTCTCCAAAGAACCAGTAACGTGAGAAAAAGATCACACCGTAAACCACAGTAAACCGAAAACATGTACAAAATCAGTAAGTTCGAGTCAAACCCTCCACAAATTGGAACGAAATATAAAATCCGTTAAAAATAATGTTAAAATTCTAAAAATACCTGGTATAGCCATTTTGGAAAACATGGACATGCATAGGCAACTTTTGTCATAAGCCATTAGAATATTCAAATACGAAACTTGAAAAAATCCGGTGTAAAAATACCCAATATCGGGAGGTACCTTTATATGATGCTATACGAAGACGTGGACCTGCAGTGAGTATTGTACCTGAAATCGTCAAAATACCGAATATTGGGAGGTACCGTTATATTGAGGCTATACGAAGAGCTGGACCTGCATAGACAATTTCTGGTCATAGGCTGTAGTACCCATTACGAATTCCAAATACGACATTTGAAACAACTCAGGTGAATAATGTCCTTAAAATCGTTATTATGCCGAATATTGGGAGGTATGGGGTCTATACGATATCGTGGACCTATATAAAAATTTCTAGGGGGTAAAGTGCATTGAAAGAACTCCTTGTGTGGATTTTCGGACAATTCCATTAAAAAATGTAGCTAAAATCATAAAAATACCGAATATAGGGAGGTAACGTTATATGGGGGATAAACGATATCGTGGACCCATACTCTACCAGGGGGTGAAGTACTCAGAACGAACTTCTTTTGTGGATTTTCAGACAATTTCATTGAAAAAATTTGGCCACAATCATCAAAATAACGAATATCGGGTGGTAACGTTATATGGGAGCTATGCGATATCGAGGACCGATATAGTCCATCTTCGAACTTGGCCTGCCGGCAGACAAAAAGACTGACCTCTGCAAAATTTTAGCATCATATCCTGATTGTTTTGACTCTAGCGTGATTACAACAGACGAACGGACGGAAGGGCGGACAAGGTGTAAATCTTCTTAGAGTTTTACGCTGATCAAGAATTGGGTCTAAGATTATTATTTCTATGAGTTGCAAACGGAATGACGAACTTACCCTCCATGCTTTGTAGGGTGGAGGGTATAAATAAATCGCCTTAACTTGGTATGGTGGTAATATAAATGGCATTCATTTCGGTCTACGGGAGAGGGCGGCTACTGTAGGAGGCCGAAAGGTACGTAGTAATTTTTTTTGGGCTGGCTCTTATTAACACGAATGGCCTGTAATAGATAGACACTGGAGCTTCGGGCTCGCTATCCCAACAGAAATTTAGAGTAGTAAAGAAGAGCTATTCGTAGACCGTAGCATAGTCGGATCATCTAGTCCGAACACCTGTGAGCCGAATGCCGTTTCGCCAGAGTTTCAAATTCCAACCCGAGAAGCAAAATCATCTATAATCCAAGCGTCATTATCTGGGTCCTCGACCGGATTTACCGATTAAAGTCCGTTCAGCGGCATTGTCTACGACCCGAAGAGCGAAGTCATCTATAACCCGAGCGCCATCATTGTGGTCCCCGATGACCATTCATAAGAGTTCCCGATTCGAAACCGAACAGAGTTCCCAATTAGAAACAAATTCCAACCCGAGAAGCAAAACCGTTCCATTCCAACCCAAGCGTCATTATCTGGGTCCCTAACTGGATTTTCCGATCAAAGCCCGATAAGCGGCATCGTCTACCAACCGAAGAGCGAAACCATATATAACCCGAGCGTCATTATCGTTGTCCCCGATGACCATTCCCCTGAGTTCCCGATTAGAAACCGAACAGCGACATCGTGAACCCCGACGACCAGAATTTCCGATTATCCTCGGATCATCTGTGTCCCGAACATTGTGATCCCCGACGACTATTCACTAGAGTTCCCGATTATCCTCGAATCAACTGCAAGCCGAATATCTTGATCCCCGACGACTATTACCAGAATTCCCGATCTTCTTAAAATTGTCACCAGCATAATCCTTGGACAACCGACGTCAATTCATTAGATTTTCCTATCATCTTCCAATCGCTTATGATCCGAAGTCCTTTCACCCAGATTCCCATTTATTTTATTTAAATCGCCAACAATCCGAAGAATATCATCCCCGAAGACCATTGATAAGAGTTCCCGATTGGAAATCGATCAGCGACATCATCTACAATCCGAGCGCCATCATCCTTAAACCCGACGACCAGAATTCCGAACATTGTAATCCGCGACGTCTATTCACCAGAGTTCTCGATTATCCTCGGATCAACTGCAAGCCGAACGTCTTGATCCCCGACGACTATTACCAGAATTCCCGATCTTCTTCCAATCGTAATCCTGGGACAACCGACGTCAATTCATTAGATTTTTCCGATCACCTTCCAATCGTCTATGATCCTAAGACCATCACAAACTCCGAACACCCGACGTCCGTTCACCCGGATTCCTGTATATATTTACCCCGGATTCCCCTTTATACCCTCCAACATAGTATGGAGGGTGTATTAAGTTTGTCATTCCGTTTTTAACACCTCAAAATATACTTTTTCGACCCCACACAGTTTGATCAGCATAAAATTCTATGTCGATTTAGCGATGTCCGTCCGTCTGTGGAAATCACTCTAGCTTCCGAACGAAATGAAGTAGGTTGGTAAAATTTTACTCAAATATGTATTATGTCTGCAGGACTTTTGGTATTGTCCACGTCCTCGTATAGCCCCCATATAACCTTACCACCCGATATTCGGTATTTTGATGATTTTAGCGACATTATTTTCCGGAATTGTTTCAAATTTGGTATTTGAAGTTCATAATAGCTACTACGGCTTAAGACAGAAAATGGGCTATGTAGGTTCACGTCTTCGTATAGCCCCGATATTCGGTATTTTAATGATTTTATCGACATTATTGACCGGAATTGTTTCAAATTTGGTATTTGCCTATGCAGATCCACGTCGTCGTATAGACCCTAATATACGGCTACATTCGGTATTTTTTAAGATTTTAGCAGAACTTTTAACGGATTTAATTTTTTTGAAAATTGCCAAATTTTGTACCAAATGGTGGAGGGTATTCAAAGTTTGGCCGGACCGAACTTACGGCTTTTTTACTTGTTTAAAGAAAATGTTTTCGAATGACCTATCAACCTAAATTTTTTAAAGAATATTTTTAACGAGAATATTCTCCAATGACCACCAACGTCGATTTTTTAATGAATATTTTTTTCTGGCCTTCATCAGCATGAATCCTTCAACGGATCAATCTTCAACGGACCATCCTTCAACGTGGACTTTTGAGAAGAATATTTTTTCATGGAGTTGTGAGAAAACTGATTCGGATTTAAGAAAGATATTTTTCAAGGACTATAAATTATCCAGGATTTATAAATAATTTATTGTCCATGACCATCTTTAAACTAAGATTTTTGAAAGGTTATTTTTTATGACCACGTATCTAAAAATATTTTCCAATGACCACCAACGTCGATTTTTTAATGAATAATTTTTTAAGGACCTTCATCAGCATGAATCCTTCAACGGACCATCCTTCAACGTGGACTTTTAAAAAGACTATTTTTTTCAAGAAGTTGTGAGAAAACTTATGAGGATTTGGGAAGAATATTTTTAAAGGACTGTACATTATCCAGGATTTATAAATAATTTTTTGTCCATGACCATCTTTCAACTAGGATTTTTGAAAGGTTATTTTTCTAGGACCTCTATCAATGTGTACTGTTCGGAGAGGAATATTTTCAAGAACCTCTATTAACGAGCATTTTTCAAAAGAATATTTTTAAAGAATGTTCATAATCATAGAATTTTTAAGAGAAGTTTCCCGAAAGACCTCCTTTAACAACGTTAAAAAAAATGATTTTTAAGGTTCTCCATAAAGGTGGATTAAATAAAGATCCCTTCTAGATTTCTAAGTCTGATAGTCCTTGAAAAAGGGACCTGAAAATTTCACTCTTCTTCATCTGCTCGTTTTTGAAGAAACAGGTCTTAAAAACCACATTTCCTTATCTTCGTGCTTCGTGATCTGATAGTGCTTAAAAATTGTGTTTCAAAATTGACGTTTCTTGAAAAAGTAGTCCTTAAAAATCCTTGAAAAAGTAGTCCTTAAAAATCCTTGAAAAATTAGTCCTTAAAAATCCAATATTCTTAGTCTGAAAGTCCTTGAAGAAATATCCTCAAATTATTTTCATCTGACTTTTCCTAGCATTTCTTTACCGTTTCCCCCTTTCAATTTTCAGCTCCTCTCCTTATGGGGCCTCGTGATGGGCTTTATGCTTTTCAACATTGTCGATTTGGAAATTTGCTGCATTCTCTGGCAATTTTTAAATTATTTCTTCGACATGGATAATGATGATATACTGATACTGGCCTTTCCCTTTAGCTATGTCTTTGTGGGTAAGTGTTAGGGGGGGTTTTCATCGCCCGGTGCGTAAGGCAGTGAAAAATAACGAATTTCAATTTTCATGTTCATGTCCATGTCCGGGATGCCCTCTAAAAATAGAAGGCATTTTTGTGGTCACACTCATGGAGAATGACTATCGCGAAATGGCTTTGGGTTTTGTCATGGGCTCGGTGCTCTTTATAGCCTACTCAGCATTGCCGGTGATGCTGTTCTCGGTGTGTTTCGGCACAAATCATGTGGTAAGTTACGATGCAGGCTGCGGGTGAAATGATGTGGAAGTCGCCACCAATATCGCCGCATGACAACAAATTGTATGTGTGTGTGTGAGCGTGTGTTTTTTTTTCTGCTGTCTTTTCATATTTCTGCATTTGCCCAGTATTCACTGACCGATAATACGACCACGGCTTTCTATTTCATGGCGATTGTCGAATGTGTCACGATTTTCGGTTTCTCTCTCAGCGGCTATGAACTGCGTCCATCGTTCAGTGTATTTTTGGGAACGGTGGCATTCATCTTTGCCCTGTTCATGATTTTGGAGAATGAACAGGTCATCCATGCGTACGGGACAATGCATTCGCGTACGGTATTCGTGGATGTTATGCACAATCAATGGGCCTAAGTGGGGTAGAGACGGTGTTTGGGGGGATGAAATGTGGTAAAGGTTTTTTTTTTTTTTGCAAAGTTTCTCGAATGAATTTTGCAATTTTATGTTCAATTGAATAAATATTAGTTTTAAATATTATTATTAAATTTATCTGCTGTGTTGTAGTTCCACTTATTTTCGATTTTTTAATATTTTTTTTAAGGACCTTCCCAACATTAAATAGAGAGTAAATAATTTGTCTTGAGTACCACCTCAACAATAAATGTGGATTTTTTAAATATTTTTTAATGAAACACCATCCCAGCAATAAGCCACGATCTTTCAAATAATCTTTCTCAAGTATCCTACGACCAAAAAACCTGGATTTTTTAATTACTTTTCTCAAGGACCTTCCCTAATATTGGATTTTTAACAATTTTTCATTTTTTTGGATTTTTAACAATTTTTCAATTTTTCAATGTGGATTAAAAAAAAATGTAAGGACTTTCCCACTCATAAATTTAGATTTTTTAATAATTTTTTCAAGGACCATCCCCACTACAAAACGTGGTTTTTTACATAATTTTTGTCAAGGACCATCACAGAATTAAACGTGGATTTTTATATAATTTTTTCGGAAAATTTTTTAAATATTTTTTTTCAAGGACCATCCCAACCAATAAATGTATATTTTTCGAATATTTTTTTCTGAAGAATCATCCCAGCAATGAACATGGATTTTTTAAATAATTTTTTTCAAGCACATTCGGACCCATAAACGTGGATTTTATAAATAATTTTTCTCAAGGACTTTCGGACCCATAAACGTGTTTTTTTTAAATAATTTTTCTCAAGGACTTTCGGACCCATAAACGTGTATTTTTTAAATAATTTTTCTCAAGGACCACCTCATTAATAAACGTGATTTATTTAAATATATATTTTTTCGAGGGACCAACGATCAAAAAACGAGGATTTTTCAAAAAAAAAATTTTCTCAAAGACCTTCAAAGCCACCAACAAGGATTTTTTAATAATTTTTCTCAAAGATAAATGTGGATTTTCTCTCAAGGATTTTTTTTCAAGGATTCAATGAATGTCGATTTTTTAATTATTTTTTTCAAGGATCCAATAAACGTCGATTAATAAATATTATTATTAAATTTATCTCCTGTGTTGTAGTTCCAAATATTTGATGGAAATTTATATATGACCTCAAGCTAAATAAATATCCCCAAAAAACTACCTTTAACAATAATACAAATTTATTAGTCCTGGAAAAAAATACAAGAATGGTCTATAAAACATTTTTTTAAATGGTCTGTAAAATATTCTTCAAAGCATCCACATTGGTCCTTGAACTGAATACAAAAGGTTTCCTCTGAGGGATAAAAAATGACCTCTAAATATATATTCTTTAAAAAAACAGTTCGAATTTATTTTCTTCAAGGAATTCTTAAAATGGTACTGAATAAAACACTTGTAAAAAGTAAACCTTTATTGGTCCTCCAAAAAAATGGTCTTTAAAAAATAGCCTTAAAAAAAGTTCTTAAAATATATTCTTAAAAATGGCATGTTATTAGTCCTTCAAAAAACATTGGTTTTTATGCACTTGAACTGTCTGAGATATAAATGTGAGTGCTTAAATAATTTTAATTTAATTTTTCCCAAGGACCTTCCGACCAAAATATTGGGTGTTTTTAATGATTTTTTTAAGGACCTTCCCACCATTAAAAGAAGAGTTTTTAAATGTTTTTTCTCACCGAATTCCATTTTTAAAATATTTTTCCTCAAAGATTTTTTAAATATTTTTTCCTGAGTACCACCTCAACAATAAACGTGGATTTTTTAAATTTTTTTTTTCTGAAAGACCATCCCAGCGATAAACGTTGATTTTTTAAATATATTTTTCTGAAAGACCATCGCAGCAATAAGCGACGATCTTTGAAATAATCTTTCTTAAGTACCCTCCGACCAAAAACCTGAATTTTATAATTACAATTTTTCTCAAGGACGTTCCCAAAAATTAATGTGGATTTTCAATAATTTTTTTTACTGATTTTTTAAGGACTTTCCCAGCAATAAGCAAAGAGTTTTAAAATAGCTTTTCTCACCGAATTCCATTTTTTAAAATATTTTTCCTCAAACATTTTTTAAATAATTTCTCTTGAGTACTACCTCAAACATGAATGTGGATTTTTTAAATATTTTTTTCTGAAATGCCATCCCAGCGATAAACGTGGATTTTTTAAATACTGTTCTCAAAGACCATTCCAGCAATAAACGACAATCTTTGAAATAATCTTTCTCAAGTAACCTCTTGTAACCTGGATTTTTTAATTAAAATTTTTCTCAAGGACCATTCCAAAAAATAACGTGGATTTCTTCAACAGTTTTTCCAAGGACCATCCAACCCATTAACGTGAATTTTTTCAACAATTTTTTTAAGAACTATCCCACCCACAAATATAGATTTTTTTAAATATTTTTTTTTTTTCAAGGACAATCGCAATAACGAACTTGGATTTTTTGAATAGTTTTTCTTGAGGACCTTCCTAACAATAAACGTGAATTTTTTAAATAATTTTTCTCAAGAACCTTCCGACCCATAAACGTGGATTTTTTAAATAATTTTTCTCAAGAACCTTTCTAACAATAAACGTGGATTTTTTAAATAATTTTTCTCAAGAACCTTCCGACCCATAAACCTGGATTTTTTAAATAATTTTTCTCAAGAACCTTCCGACCCATAAACCTGGATTTTTTAAATAATTTTTCTCAAGAACCTTCCGACCCATAAACCTGGATTTTTTAAATAATTTTTCTCAAGAACCTTCCTAACAATAAACGTGGATTTTTTAAATAATTTTTCTCAAGAACCTTCCGACCCATAAACGTGGATTTTTTAAATAATTTTTCTCAAGAACCTTCCGACCCATAAACCTGGATTTTTTAAATAATTTTTCTCAAGAACCTTCCGACCCATAAACCTGGATTTTTTAAATAATTTTTCTCAAGAACCTTCCTAACAATAAACGTGGATTTTTTAAATAATTTTTCTCAAGAACCTTCCGACCCATAAACGTGGATTTTTTAAATAATTTTTCTCAAGAACCTTCCGACCCATAAACCTGGATTTTTTAAATAATTTTTCTCAAGAACCTTCCGACCCATAAACCTGGATTTTTTAAATAATTTTTCTCAAGAACCTTCCGACCCATAAACGCGGATTTTTTAAATAATTTTTCTCAAGAACCTTCCGACCCATAAACCTGGATTTTTTAAATAATTTTTCTCAAGAACCTTCCTAACAATAAACGTGGATTTTTTAAATAATTTTTCTCAAGAACCTTCCGACCCATAAACGTGGATTTTTTAAATAATTTTTCTCAAGAACCTTCCGACCCATAAACCTGGATTTTTTAAATAATTTTTCTCAAGAACCTTCCGACCCATAAACCTGGATTTTTTAAATAATTTTTCTCAAGAACCTTCCTAACAATAAACGTGGATTTTTTAAATAATTTTTCTCAAGAACCTTCCGACCCATAAACCTGGATTTTTAAATAATTTTTCTCAAGAACCTTCCGACCCATAAACGTGGATTTTTTAAATAATTTTTCTCAAGAACCTTCCGACCCATAAACCTGGATTTTTTAAATAATTTTTCTCAAGAACCTTCCGACCCATAAACCTGGATTTTTTAAATAATTTTTCTCAAGAACCTTCCTAACAATAAACGTGGATTTTTTAAATAATTTTTCTCAAGAACCTTCCGACCCATAAACGTGGATTTTTTAAATAATTTTTCTCAAGAACCTTCCGACCCATAAACCTGGATTTTTTAAATAATTTTTCTCAAGAACCTTCCTAACAATAAACGTGGATTTTTTAAATAATTTTTCTCAAGAACCTTCCGACCCATAAACGTGGATTTTTTAAATAATTTTTCTCAAGAACCTTCCTAACAATAAACGTGGATTTTTTAAATAATTTTTCAAGGATCACCAATAAAAGTGGATTTTTAAATAACCGTTTTCAAGGATCACCAATAAAAGTGGATTTTTAAATAACCGTTTTCAAGGATCACCAATAAAAGTGGATTTTTAAGGTCAAGGACTATCCCATCCACAAACGTCTATTTTTTGAATATTTTTTTAATGGACAGTAAAAGTCACTTTTTTAAATAATTTTTCTCAAGGACCTTCCGTCCAACAAAATGTGAAATTTTTAATTACTTTTCCAACAACAAACGTGTATTTAATATAAAAAAACTTAAAATTTTTTAAATATTTTTTCTCAAGGACCTTCCGACCAAATTACGTGAAATTTTTAATTAATTTTCAAACAACAAACGTGCATTTAAAAAAAAGTGGATTTTTAAAATAATTTTTCTCAGGAACCAAGCATTCCAACAATAAACATCTATTAGAAAAAGAACTTAAACATTTTCTGACAAAGAAGAGTGGATTTTTTGAATAGTTTTTTTTAAATATCTTCTAGCCAATAAACGTTGATTTTTAAATAATTGTTCTCAAGATCATCCCAACAATAAACGAGTGTTTTTTATATATATATATATATATATATATATATATATATATATATATATATATATATATATATATATATATATATTATATATATATATATATATATATATATATATATATATATATATATATATATATATATATATATATATATATATATTTTAACGACCTTCCCAAAACTCGTATTTTTTAATATTTTTTTTTTTTGTTCAAAGACCTTCGGAACTATAAACGCGGATTTTTGAAACAATTTTTTTTCGAATATTATCCGAAAAATTTTCAAAAATTTTTCTCATGAGCCATCACAACAATAAACTTGGATTTTTAAGTATTTTTGTTTTTCAAGTATCTTTCATCTTTTTTTCGACCAAATAAACGTGGCATTTTAAATAATTTTGTTCAAAAACCTTCCGACCATAAATGTGAATTGTTAAACATTTTTCTCATGTACCAAAATAAACCTGAACTTTTAAATATTTTTTTCAAGGATATTCCAAATCATA